GCGATTAAACACCCTAAATAATTACGTAACACTTGCGACCCCCATGTAAATGCAAGAAGTGCAAGTAAATTATAGCTCTGTAAAAAATGTATTCATTTTATTTCAGAATTATTTTTCTGTGCTGACTGCATTTAACAATAAGTTTGGGGGAAAGGAAGGACAAAAAAGGCAAAAAATTCTGATCACAAGCCGTGCTCAACCGGGACAATTTTGAGTATTTTCTTCGTAATCTTACATATTCAATACAAAATTTATGAAAAATATTTCCATTTATTGTAATAACTATAAGTAAATTATTTGTTTTAAAACAAATTAATTAGATAATATGTTTTAGTATAAGACTCAAAGAGGAAGTATTTCAGCAAATGTAATATATATATATATATATATATATATATATATATATATATATATCAAAATAAATGTTACGTAATACCAATCGAATACCCTCCTGCCCCTATGTAACGCAGCCTCAAACCACCTCCCTTTCACTAGTTTCTTTATTCAGTAATGTCAATTTGGCAACCTTTCTCTTCTTCTGTTCTCTCTCTCATATCGACTCAGTTTCTCTAATTCCATTTCCCATCGGTTTTGTTCTTCAAAAACGTTTTTCTGCTTAGCTCTGGTCCCATATGCATAGCAAATCACGTCACGATCGACCATGATGGCTGTTTCCCTCCACCTGCAGTTTAAGTATATATAATCGAATGCCACTTGTAGCCCTAATGTGCGCATGCGTAGATCCTATAATAAATTACGTGGGCACAAATTTCCATTTAAATTTCACGAACACAATGAAACAAATTTAAAATTACTTGCTGTGTGTCTTTTGTTCTCACACACATAATATTTAAAGAGATTGCGGTCTTGTAGCAAATTTTCAAATACCTTAGACAATGTTTTATAGAATATCGTGAAGTTTGTTAGTTTATGACTCAGAATGACGTAATTAACTTAAAACAGTAATTTAATAATGATTCTTATAATTAATAAAATGTCCTATAAATAATTTTATCATTAATAATTAATTCCGTCAATTGGAAATAATTGTTAGCTCAAATTTTTCATCGATAATCAATTTTTTGAACGTGGGAACTTTTTTTCCTATATTTTTTTTTTCGGGAATTTAAATTCTCTGCTCGAAGTTCGATCGAAAACTTTTCCTATCTTCAACGTATTTTTTGTTATTTGTTGAAACAAAATATATCGTAGTTTCTTGACACAACGTTCACAATTATGGGGGGGGGGGGCGATTCAGCATTGCCCCAGGTCCAAAATTGAATAGCTCCAGCGTTGCTAACGATAGAGTGGGGTGCCGAACATTCGTGGCCAGCTCTGTAGTCGAGAGGGGATTCAAACTGGGACGCTTAGGTCCGAGAGGGGTTCAGCCGGCATCTAAGACCGACTCTCACCTATTAAGGTAGTTCATGCAATTTCTACACAATCTCTTAAAGAGCATTTTTCCACTAAAATGCTTAGTAAATTAAGTATTTGATTAAAAAACGTTTTTTTTCAAACAAAGTAGCATTCATACATTTCTATTGCACGAGAAGCAATGTATCACAATGTGGATATTTATGCAACGAAGGAAGATAATCAAAAGGTGATATTGAACAAGGTGAAAAGTAATCTTTGACATTTACTTGATTCACTTCTCAGTCACTGCTTCACAGGTCTACGTACAAACACACGACCACAGAACGGGTGGCCAGGAAAACGAAATATAACGCTGAATATGTAATCTGTGTGACCCGAGTTCAAGAAAACCACAATTTCAAAAGGAAAAACAATTAGTAACCCGTTCCTATATAAACTGAATAATATAAGATTAAAGGAATCTCCATCAAACTAACAAATATGCCCAATATTCTACTTCTTCCATGAGCCTGGGATGCGGGATTTTTTTGCGAAGTCTTCCCTCGAATATTTAGATTCTTTGGAGTACCAGTAAATAAATACAATTCAAAAAGCGGCTTGCTTCTGTTAAACAGCGAAGGTGATTCACAAGTTTGGTAAGTCAAACGTGAATGAAATACATACAATTATTATTCTCCTTTAAAACGGAAAATCTATGATTGGGGAAATGTAACGAGTGTCATATTGCCAACACAATATACACGTTAATCAGGTGCTATTTAAAAATGTATTCATATATTTCATGGTACATCAGATTCCCTTATGATGATATTATATTGTGTTTATATTGCAGCTATGACAATCAACATTGACGATGCATGAATTTAGGCTGTACTGTCGCGGTCAAGTCAACCGCAGTATCTGCAACGCTCCACCCAATGCAAGTCCTGTCGAACTCTTAAATGCGGTGCGGAGTGGTGGCCGGCCGGTCGCGCTTCCGCGTGAGTTCCGGCGGTGGAGGCGGCGAGCTGCGATCAGGTGCTCTGGAGTAGAGCGCTCAAGGCCGCACGCGACCCCTCCGCGCACGGACCACGCCAAATGACGCTGAATGTCGACTAGTGTAGGACCTTCGAGGGGGATAAAAGATTTTCGCGGGGAGCAATGGGATGTGAAGAATAATGAACGCCGGATGCAGTCTCAGTTAAATCGAACAATTTGAAAGTGACAGTGGAACACCGAAAAGAGGGGACGATAAAAGACATCGGAGAGCCGTGATGGATAATAGTATCCCAGCTGAGATGAGACAGGTTTAAATTATAACCCTATAGTCGGAATCTACAATGAGTTGAACGTCGGAGACGCTGGTGAAAACGCGTACGCAACCAGCGCCGGACAACGCATCGCTCCGTGGTCACGAGCCGTTGCAGTTGCGAGGCGTTTGTGTGCGCTCGGCAACAGCGCGCCCTCACTGACCCAGCTGCGGCGAGCTGGCAGCGCGGCGCGCCCTTGAACTTGACTCGCGGCGCGGCTGCCAAGGCCGATCCGCGGCCCGCGCCGCCGCGGCCCAAGTTCGGTAATAGCCCGGTAACCGCGGTGGTGCAGACACGGAGCGGGGGAGAGGCAGGGGGAAACAGTCGGGCGCGCACTCAAGCGGAGCGATCAGGTCGATATCGCTGCCGCACGTCGCGATGCCGCAAACCCCAACTTTGGCACGACGCATAAGGGGAAAGTGTTCACGGGGCGAGCGCATATGGCAGGCAGCCGCTCCTTACGCAACGCGGACGTTACACTTTCCGTTTCGATCCGCTCCACGCAGTAGCGACGACGGCGACAGCGGCAGCCGCGCTACGTACCACGTCCTGCATCCAGGTGTCCATTCCGCGTGAGGCAGGCACTCGCTTACATCCCCGGCCACGCGGCCACAGCTCATGCGAGGAGTTTGCTCCGGCGCGCCTCGCCCGGCGTCGCTCCGCGTCCGCTCCGCCGGCCCCGGCGGCCCTCGCCTCGGGCGCGGCGGCGGGCGGCGCGGCAGCTGCAGCGCTTGCTGGCTGCAGGCCGGCCTCGACCTCCGCGCGCCTCCACACAGCCAGAACGCAAACCACGTGCTCCAGCAAATTCATTCCGGGCGGAGCACGCGTGCCGAGGATCTAGCGTCAGCGTACTGCTTCTCACGAGACGTGCTATGTTGCCAGTGTTCGCACTAGATTCTGGTCCGTCTGCGCCATTTGGACGTGCTTGGCCGCCTGCAGCGGAGCCTATAATTTCAGATGCCTTGACTTGACGGGATTTTTTTATTCAAGAGGGGGCGGTCTGCTGAGGCCCGTTGAGATGGGGTGGGGTTACGCGGGGAGTGGAGGGAGTGGCGCAGAGCGCGCCACGCCACCTGCCGCACGCCACGTCGAGCTGCCACTGCCGCCGGCCTAGTCGCCCATTTAGTTTTGCTACGCGCTACTGATATATATATATATAATATATATATATATATATATTATAATAATGTATATATATATAATATACTATATATATATAATGTGTGTGTGTGGACGATTACAATACAAATTCTACGAAACCGAAATTGCAGTTTTGACCAATAAAATTATTTTACAAATATCAAATAAAATAACTACTTTAATCTCTTTAAAGCCCATATATGTCTTACAGTGCCCAGACTGTACCTTGCGTTTCTACGTAAAAAAATATTTAACACACATAAATAATTCTCCTCTAAAATTAACTCTTAAGTAACATTAGTAGCGATCGAGACATAAACAAAATCTGAGACTTCAATCTCAATGATGTAATAAAGAGCCAACACAAATTTTCCTACGTAGAATGTTGTGGTACTGCTGTAAACAAAAGAACGCTTCTCAATGAAAAGTAATCAATACGAAATATTTATTAGTTTATTCAATCACTGGAACGAGTACATCTATCATAGTTTACAACGCATGGCATACGAATAAGCAATATGTTACACAAACACTGGGAAACCGTGGGTATTTCATATTCTTGAAGAGATTAGAAACCGGTCATTAAATGCTCTCCCTGTTAAGTCTTCCATGTTCATCACAACACAACATACATTTCTACCACAGGAATGTCGGAGATACGATACAACAGAAAATGCGGTTGTACTTACGATCACGTGCAAGTGTTTGTAATCACGTATCAACGTAGGGATTTCACATTAGCATAAAATGATCGAAAAATAACACACAAATAGGAAAATTCACGCCAGTACAAAAAAATTCCACTTGAGCGCGTTGGTGTTGCAACTCTTTGATCGACTTTCGAAATCGATACATCTCGACCGACCGCAATCCAGATTTACTTTTTCTTGCAGGTTATGTCAAACCAGGCGCGGATCCACGGGGAGGGAAATTGCCCTCCGCCCCCTAAAATTGTCCAGTAACTTTTAACTTGTCACGAACTTTTCAAGCAAAATATTTTAGGGTAATCATTTAAACGAATAAAATAGTTTCGTAGAGCTGTGTAGCCGTCGACATTTTACAAAATCTGTAATATAACACATTCGACCAAAACAGCTTGAATTTCTCCTCCCAAAATTAGTCTCTGGATCTACCTCTGGTCAAACCATTAGTAAAATTGGAATAAAAATAATTTCTGAACTAGTTTCTTTTTATTTTTTTTTAAAAAACGGGATAAATCTTAGGAACAGCATTATGGGCAATATATTAAACGTTTGAGACAGTTTGAAGCAAACATTCAGTTTCTTGATTTTTATTCCACAGCCATGAATTACATTTTCCTCCTATGTACTCTAACAGAACTGGAAGCTTTGGTCCACAAACGAGAACATAGCATACAGTTGACTGAAACTGTAAGGGAGAAAGAGGAATATTTGAATGACAAAACATATTAAGCCAACATTATATTATTTTCTTAAATTGGCATTTAAAGCAAATTATTTTTGACCACTGCCACTTCAAATATTATGTACAATTGTAAAACCATAAAAAAATGCAGCCGAATGCTTGAGTATAGAAACAACTATCACATAATCTGCAAATGTTTCAAGAGTATACAGTCACAATAAGCTCCATACCCTTGCTCCACGTGCTTTTAAAATTTTACTATTTTTGTTTTAAATACAATGATACATTATCAGTCAAACCTACATTTGTACAATAAATATTATCCTTCCCTCATTATCTCATAAACATTATGAATTCAATAATTTTTTCATACAAAAAATGCAATACATAAAGTGATATACAGATTCACACTCCATTCTCTTGATTCAGATTCTACTCATTCTCACACTATCAAAATAGTAACTTGAATACAGATTTCACTGATACATGACAGCAAATGAGCAAAACACACTAACTCTTAAAAGGATAAAAGAGTTCCGGCACATTCTAGACTAGGAGCATGGACTGGTGGGTAACAGGAAACAATACTGTTATTATGACAATAATTATTACATGTTAAAATATTTTGGAAAGTGTGAATAGTAGGGTTGTAAGTATCTTGTGAAAAGTGTATTTTCAATAAATTAAGAACAATAAATCACTCTTCTAACACTTGCAAACCTGCTTTAATTAACACACAATATCACAACTGATTTATCTGCTTCCCATAAAGCGCTAAAACATACAAGTCACAAGAACATGGAATGGACATTGGTCTTGTCACCCCCCAGCCATCAACAGGGCTTCTGCCAGATTCACACAATTGCAGTTTATAGGCAGATTTCTGTCACAAAAGGAGCAGCTGTCCAGTTTCAGCCTTTCTTTTCAATTATCACTTTTAAATCTGTTATCGTCTTCTCAAGGAGCTCCAGCCAATTTACAGGTAAAGGGGATGGCTTAGCAGAGCCAGATGCACTGCCTGAGCTCTCAGTCTGGTCACTAGAGGGGGAAACTGATTGAGGAGACTCATCTTCTGATTCTTTTGAACTGGTGGCAACCGGAGGCAAAGGAGAGTTCTCTGCGGAGCTTGCCACAACAGCTGAATGAGAAGATGCAGAAGTTGAAACAGATGTTGATACTGCTGCTGGTGCATTTCCCAGAGAAGGTGTTGTAGTAGTAGTAGTAGTAGTAGTAGTAGTAGTAGTAGTAGTAGTAGTAGTAGTGGTGGTGGTAGTAGTAGTAGTAGTAGTAGGAGGAGGAGTGGTAGTATTAGTAGTAGTAGTAGTAGTCATAGAAGAATTATCAGTGGTATCAGGGGCAGTAATCATCGTAATAGTTGGAGTAGTAACAGTAGTAGTAAAAGCAATGGCTGTAGTAATAGAAGGGGTAGCAGTCATTGAAATAGCTGGAGAAGTAGTAGCAGTAGTCATAGTAGCTGGGGAAGTAGTAGTTGTGGTACTAGTAGTAGTAGTAGTAGTAGTAGTACCAGCAGTAGCAGCAGCCGGAGCAGCAGTAGCAGTAGTAGTAGTAATAGCAGCAGCAGCAGCTGTAGTAGTATTTGCAGTACCGGTGGTGGTGGTAGTAAAAGAAGCAGGAGGAGGGGTGGCAGTAGTAGTAGTAGTGGTAGTGGTGGTGGTAGTAGTAGTAGTAGTAGTAGCAGCAGGAGGAGGAGAAACAGTGTTATTACTGTTATTATTAGTAGCAGTAAGAGTGGTGCTAGCAGCATCAGCATTAATAGAAGCAGCAGAAAGGGGAGAAGTAATAGTGGTGGTGGCAGTGGTGGTGGAGGTAGTAGTAGTAGTGGTAGCAGCAGCAGCAGCAGTAGTAGTAGTAGTAGTAGTAGTAGTAGTAGTAGTAGTAGTAGTAGTAGTAGTAGTAGTAGCAGCAGCAACAGCAGCAGTAGTAGTAGTAGTAGTAGTAGCAGCAGCAGTTGTAATAGCAGTAGTACTTGCAATAGTAGTAGTAGCAGCAGCAGCAGTAGTATTAGAATTAGTATTATTATTAGTATTAGCAGTAGTAGTAGTAGTAGTAGTAGTAGTAGTAGTAGAGGTAGAAGAATTTTCTGCATCAACATCCAATGATGTTGATACCAATGCTGCTGCAGTTGTAGAAAAAGCAGACTTTTCTTCCAAGCTTTTTGCTGTTGCTACAACAGCAGAAGGTGACACATCCTGTTCATTAACACTACCAACATCAGAAACTATTTCAGTTTCTGTACCAGCTGAGGATGAAGTAGAGACAGAAACAGCACCGGCAGTTCCAGGGGAAGCCGATGAAATAGCAGGTGCTGCTTCAGCAAGTTCTTCTTTAACTTCCTCCCCACCTGGCGTTTCTGTATCTGCCTCTGCTGCTGTTTCTGCAGCATCCATTGCAGCTTCTTCCTCTTCTTCATCTGGAGACAATTTGCGCTTCTTAGTGGGGTTGCCTTCTGCTGCAACATCATGATACTCTTTTGAATAACATCAGAACAATGGAATACTAGTAGGACAAACTGCATTAACAATCAATTATTGTGATCTAAGAAATAAAGTGCTTTAATTTTTTAGAAAATCATCAATATTGAAACATTACTTATTTTCACTGTAAAGAATTTGACGGAATCTGTTGAGTAAGAGAAGTTATTTACAAAGATGGAGATAATACCTTTCTTGACCCAAAATTCTGATGAATTTTCAATTACAGAGTATCATCTTACATTTCTCAAAGCTGAGAGAAAGGCAATAAACATGAGAAAAAACAACATACAAACAAATAACATTTCATAAAACACTTAAACCAAATAAATTGGAAAGCACTATTTTAGCTACATATGTATGTAGTAAATATACATAATAAATACTGGAAATAACATTCTTAGCCAGTGGCACAATATGGTTTTTCTTCATGAGAGGGGGCGCTGTGATATATTTAATGTCCAGCCGACTTCATGTTTTCTAATAAGTTTTTTCACCAGTAGTTTTTATTTACTAATTTATAGTTATTTATCATGTATGAAAGTGAAATATTGAATGATTTTCATTATTGTTAAAAATTAATAAAAACATTATAATTGAGAAAACATAAGTCACCAACTTCTAGGGGGTGAGAGGGTATTGAAGTCCCATACGTCCCTCACTGTTTGAAATGCAATCATAGTCTTATGTAAATTTTCCTATCATACTTTGAATAAAGAAATTACACCAATGGGTGGTCACCAATGTAAAACTAAATTATTTAAACTAATTTATTTATTAAAATGAAATGAAATAAATCATTGTCCAATAAAAGCAATCAAATTAAAAAATAATAACAACTACCTGGGCCTGTATAAAAACTCTGCACTTTTTAAATAATTGTTTTAAAAGTGAAAACTATTTCACTTTTCAGCAACAGGTGCAGATCCAACCGATTTTGGAGGGAGCCATCATAGATTTTTGTTAAAAAATAAATATTTGTTAATATATTGCATATTATTTTTGTAGTGTATTTTTGATACTAAACAATATTATTTAATAATTACATAATTCTAACATAAATAAATATTTAAATAAATTTTGCCAAATAAAAGAGTAACAAATGAAAACGCTAAGCCTTGGGGGCACCCCCCGATCCTCCACTGCAAAGCAGAATGTAACATCTAGCAGTCAGCTCCTGAACTCTACATTACAAGCGTACTACGGTCCGAGTGTAACCATTCAAGTTGCATTGTGCATACAAGAGAACATCAAACAGCCCCTTTAATTTAATTGTGAAAAATTTATTTCTATTTCCTTGTATTTAATTTTACATAGATTTCGAGTTTCTGCCCTTTTCTGATGCTGGGGACTGAGACCCAAAAGAACTGAATCTCCATAAGATTAAAAAGATCTCATTTTGTAGGGTACTGGTTAAGAAACATAATTAAGACTCCATCATTTCCCCCACACTTAAGAACCCATAGAATTCACATATCCCCACAAAACATGATTTCGTTTGGGCCAACAAAAACCTGTGCCTACAGAGCGTTGTATCACAGCTACAAGTGATTATAATGTGTAGTGTAGGAATCTGCTTCTGTTGTCATTATCTGCAAGCTGCTTTATTTCTTTCTTGCTCTCTCTCTTTTTCAAACATCCCCCCCCCCCTTTCTTCTTCATCTTCAATCAGTTGGATGCACCGACCAAATAGTAATTACGCCATCTACATCAGGGCACTTTGAGGGTTCAGATAGTTGATATGGTTTTCATGGAAACTGTTATTAAAATCGTAATCTATCCATTGCTGTATTAAATACACAGAATGATAGTGAAAGCATAATAATAATAATAATAATATAATAAATATAAATAATAATACTTAATTAATTAACATTTGTTGAATAATTTTTTATATAACAATTCAATAGGTTTTAAATTTTATAAATGTTTGTGTATAATATTTGTGTGCTAATGTACGTGTTGTGTAGTGCTGTGTGAAAAACTGTAAGCGCTATTTTTGTAACTTGTAAGTAATAAGTGATCATGCTTTGATTATGTTATCTGTGGATTACTGTAATTCCAGAAGCTGTGAATAAAGATAATATAATAATATAATAGATAATAATAATAATAATAATAATAATTTTAAAAGTAATTTTCAATGTATCTGCGTGGTCATTTAGTTGTTAAATGAATTCAATTTGTGGCGCGAAAAATTAACGTTTAGGCTATGTTGTACAACTTTCTCATACCATTTATAATGGTTTATGAAAAATATTGATGATAGCTTCATTCAAACTATGTCTTCCTAAACACTTTCATCTGTACAAATCTTTTTTTTTTAAACAGTCAAACAGCATTTTCTAGTATCCTTTCTAAATAGATATATTCAGCAACTTCCTTTTCTAAGAAATTTAAACCTTACGTAGCATTATGAAAGTCTAAAAATGTACTTGCAAGCCAGAATCCCTTGAATCTGAATAACAGCAGATGCTTTGTAAGTTTTTTTTGGTTTTAAAAACTTTCAGTCTTGCATTCAATAAATAAACAAATTTCTCAAAAATTAACTAACTCTACAAAAATGAGAATATAATACTTAGAGATCTCAATTAACATTATTAGTTTTAAAAGTTTTGCTGTATATTTAACTTAAAGGTTACTATTGTTTTTATTAAAATGCTTCTATTATTCTCAAATTTTCTTTTTAATTTTTCAGTTATCAAAGTTCTTTATCCCAAATGGGGGTCAAGAGAGTCTATAAAGAGTAACCTCTGTCATAATTTTTTTAGTAAAGTTTTGCAGCAATCTGAAAATGCAATCGCTATTTTGTGCTTATTACAAATGATTACTTTTAACATTTAGAGAAACTACATAAGAATACACACACTAACTTGCACACAAAAAATGTATGTAATGTAAATATTAGTGCCACCTATAATGTAAGAATTATAGTGTCATGTAAGAGATCCCCTTTATACTCAAAAGAAAAGGAAAAAAATATTTTAAATGATTAATGGCACTTCCTGATTGAAAAACCTTTAATGAGAGTGGAGGGTGAAGCAGGGAGAGAGAGAGAGAGAGAGGGGGGGGGTTGAAGGGGAAGGGGGGTAAGAGTAAAACAAAGAAAACTATGTATGTGAGAAATTAAAAATGTGAACAGATATATTGGTTACTACCTGGAGCTTCCACTCTCTCAAATTCTGTTCGTGCAGCTCTTGTCTTTGTAAGCAATGTATCTAAAGTGGGAGTGAGGCCACCAGGAAGAGCGAGAGATACATCACAACTGTAAACTAGCACCAGGGCTCTTAGATCTCCATTTAACTTGAAAGCTTGGATTTGGACATTTACCAGATCTACAATTTCTCGAAGAGAGGTTACTAAATTATCAATGATATTGCATGTTTGTTCTGTTAGGACATGTGATGCAACCTAAAACAACACAAGGATCTTATGATAATATTCACAAACTCATTCTAGGGAACAGGAAAACAACAATAAAAAAATACAACTTACCTTGGGAAAATACATACAAAGGAAGTTGTAAATAATACCAATATTAAGAGAGGATCGCTCATCAAGTAAAACAGCTTCTACATAATCTACAAAGTAATTGCTGGTAGTTAACATTGATATATACTTTTTATCCACATGCTGAAACAAAATTTGACAATTTAAAAATTATTCACAAGACCAAAAGTAATATTGATTAATGATCAATACTTTACATTCAGTAAAGCGTAATAACTCACACAAAAACGAGGAAAACAGGAAGAGAACTTTTTTTTTTTGTAGAGATGAGTTTAAAAGAGTTATCTAGAGCCATATCTATGAGCCATTACAATGGTTAAATTTTTAAATGTCTTAAAAATTATTTTTCGAGGGTGAGAAAAAATGTTGCAAAGTTTCAAACACATTCCCATAATTTTCACAAATTTCCATGATATATGTTAGAATTCACAAGAAAATATGATCTTATCTTTTGGGTCATATTCTTATCTCCACGTTTTGAGATACAAGCTACTAAAATATAACATCAATAAATTGAAATATGAGTTTCGCATTGCCCATTATGAACAAAAGATGGCTGCAGACAAACATTATTGTATCACAAAAACTACAATTTTGAGCGTTTTAATATTTTATGTTTAAGTCCTTCGAACAAGAAGATTTTAGTGATGTAATAATAGTACACAATGGTTTTGCAATTTAATTTAAAATAGCCAACCAGAGGATATGTACATATTGAAGCAAAAATTGATTTTAAAATAAAATCTTTCTGCACATTACTTTCACACCTTTTTAATTACATTAGCTAGTGTTTAAAAAAGTGGTTCAATGACATTCATTGTCTTAACGTAGACACAGAAGGACTTAATACAATAGCTGAATGAAAACCAATATAATTTTTAAGTGGTTTTGGAAAATAAGACCCATGGACATCCCACCACCACCACACGCATGCCGGACACCCTCTCTTTTACACACCACACACACAATTTTTATATATTAAGATAGTTAATTGCTTTGCATTGCCCGACCCACAATAGTCAATTCACTTGCCCGCCCTAACCTGCTTGCTGTTTTGGTCTGCCCTGTCCTGTTTATTCAGTGTCACCTGACAACATCACACATGCCCAAGCCTACGCATGCATACAAGCACATACACAGATCTACATATTTAGACTAGCTGATTACCCGGCTTTGCATGAGTATTTATAATACAATCATCCATTTGAGTTTGCAATGATGAAAGACATCAGATTCTTGATTATTGTAATATAAATAAATAATATTGTTGTAATATAAATTAAGCCTTGCACCTGCCTTGCCTGGCAACAATGACACCTAGATGCATGACAAGTTGTATTACTTTTGGTAACATTTTGTGGTGTACCAAAATTCGGGAAAATATTGTACTCAAAAATCCCTGCAAGTTTTTTCTCTGCTTCTCAAGTTCAAATCTTGAGAGCAATAATTGCTCAAACAGTTCAACATTTTTTGTTAACGAAAGACACATTCTTCACACATACATAAATATATTTTTACTTGTTTAGAAAAAAAGATATTAAAAAGAATTTCCTTGACCATCAATAAAATTCTTGCGCTTTTCCATATTTTCCAGAAAGTGTCAACACTGTTCCAAGATAGTACCCTTGTTTTTAATCAGAATTATCATTAAAAAAAAAACAAAAACAACAACAACAAAACTGTAATGTCAAATAATGTTATATTTTATTTACTCAATTTTTAAAAATAGAAAACTAATGTACTACTCAACAAGAAAAATAACAGGACTAGTAGATTCTGGAACTAACAATATTAACATCCGGCAGAGCTTGTTTCTCAACCTGCATTTCTTCAAGCTTTTTACTAGTTGCAAAAAGTTTTGTATTTGCATAAGTTTTGATAAAAGTGAGAAGATTTGTTTTGAAGAAAACCAACAGAAACATGAGAAATCTGTAATAAGACTTTTTTATGTTAAATGTAGGGAGAGAAGATGATGGCTTGAAAACAGCAGTCTTGCTATAACTCGGATTTTGTAATTTGGTCTTAAGCAATCTGTATTTTCTATATTTTGTTTTGGTGTTGCTGCTCCAGCCTAGTCAATTATTTTTCTTGTCAAATAATATGTTCTACATTTTGTTACCATTACACTTATGGCAACTAAACAATAGCAAGTTGAAGAATTAAAAAAAATATATTCTAAATTACCTGGGCATGACAGATATCAAGCCAAAGTTTGGGGAAGAAAGTGAGATGAAGAGGCACCCCTTCAAAACCCACCATTGCACTCAGATTCACAAGGGACTCGGACATACAATCATTGTTGATAGCAAGGCGACACATAACATCAATGAATTCATGGTATGGTGAATAGAAGTCCAGGAGGGCTTGGTCATATTCTTCATCGACACCCTGAAATATATTTTTTGTACAATAAATTTGTAAAAATTTTAAATGATTTGCTTTACGAATGTTTTGCATAAAGTCAAGAAACAATCTAGTTTCATTTCTAAGGACAAGTGAGCTTCACAAATTTATAACAATTATTTCAGGGCTCTTTGAGTTTTTAAACATTTATAAAGGAACACATAGCCCTTTATTATTTTACAAACTGCATTGCAAGAACAGGGAAAATGTGACAGTGAAGCAAAAATAAAGTCTTTATAAGCTGTGGAGAGGTAATTATAATCAGAAATTTACTCTGGGAAACAACATGCCCTTTCCATATATGACAGTTTTGTAGAAGAAATAAAAGGTTCATGGAATCATTCTAGTAACCTAGAAAACAAGGGCATGCAAATTATATTTGAACAGATTCTTTTACACTCTAAAAAACAAATGAAAAGTGTGAAAAATGGGGAGGGAAAAAAATCTACTAAAAAGAGTTTTGAATTATACAATTTGGAAAGTTTGCATTATTGAGGCTAATGCTCTGCATCTGCCTTGAAACAGTACAAATACAACAATACAATAACATATGTTACCTTTAAATTAATTGGTATAAGAAACCTATTATACGAGATTCTTACTTATATTATTCATAAACATTTTCCTAATTTTGAGATCTTCTCTATATGAAGTATCGTCGCCATCATCATGATTATTACGACTGTAATATAAATGCTGCCAAATCTTGTTAGAAAAAAAAAAAATTAATGTGTCAAGCAGAAACACATTTTATCAAAAAACACTCAATTCATTTATTATCAATTATCTCCTTTCCAATATAATAGAGAATAGCCTGGTTCACACATTAAAAACACAAAAATACACACACGATAAACTAATTTAAATGCAAATAATATACTGAAAAATAATAAAATTACCAGCAAATAATACCCAAGCATTAAAAGTAATGCACCTTAAAAAAAATTGTGTCTTCAGTTATCGATTCAAAATTATATGTGGTAACATATACACACAAAGAACAAAAAAGGGCATAGGCAAATTAGAACAGTTGCTCTGGTTTGAGGTTTGTAATCAAACTGAAAATATTTTTTTTGAATTGAATTGAATGCCTTTACGTGGCGAGACTCAGGCCATTAGGCCTGCTCTTCCGTCTGACCACGCAAATTTCGCTACGCTCCTTTCACCATATCCACCACTATATCATAAATACTTTCTGAAAGTATTCTTCCATCCTCTCTGGTACTCCAAAATACCCTGGATAGTTACTGAATTTCCTGTTATCATTCAAATAATTCATAAATATGATATTTATTTATTGAGAAAACGGCTGATTAATTAACAGTCATTTGCAATCCTTCATCAATTCTTACAGTAAAGTAAATTTCCAGAAATTGTGATCTATATGGATGGCTGGTCAAACCAGGCGTCAAAATAGATATTAATAATAAATATTATGAATGCCAGCCAGCTGTAGGATAATATTGGTTTAAAGTAAAATTGTTATGCTGTTAAACAGATACGCAAGTAAAGCAGGGCAAAAGCAATAGGAAAAAAAAAAATCTCTTACATCAGAATCAAAATGTAAAGATGATAGATATTGTTCATGTTGCAAACTGATTGAATAAAGTAATTACAGATTGGAGAGATATTAAGGATTGTAACAAATGATAGAAAATAAAGGATTGTTTCAAAGGCTTGCCCAACGAGGGGAAGATGAAAATAAATACTCAGAAAATAAAGGATTGTTTCAATGCTGTGCCCAACATGGGGCACATTGGGACATTGTGTTATTAAATATCATATTAAGGGTTGTTTATTTATATATAGAGATAGATAGAGTGTAAAACAGGGTTATTAAAGAAGAACGATCTGATGTCTAAGCTGTATTTCCCAGTAATCAAGTATCTTCTCAAAATTAGTCAAATGTCATTCAAAAGAGTGGTTTTTAAGTTTTGAACAAAGCACTCTGGATGTCACCCCCAGGGGAGAGCGCATTCCCTCCCAGGGGAGTTGCTTGTTTCAACTCAAGACTGGTGACACTTCTGCTCAGAAGGCATCTTGCATTCTCCAGTTAGTAAATTTTGTGGTCATAGTGCAGCAGAATCTTCAAAGGAAATTTAACTACAATAAGCCTTCTTCCAATAATTTTCAAAGGTGTTAGAGTCGGTTTCCAGACAATTAATACCTTTGCAACAGAGAAAAATTCTGTGCAGCCTTGAGTTTCTGAGGAAAATGAAAAGAGAATCAGTTAGGCATTTCCGCGTAGTTTTCGTAAAGACGAGGTAGTCTGTTGCCTAAACCCATTATCTGGAATGTTTTATAAATACATCTGCACTTGAAGGCATGCAAACTGCAGCTAGATCATGCGCTTACATATAATGACAAATTGAAGAGGATGGAATTTTGTGAAACAGTTCTAGACATAATAGAAGTATGTGTCATATCTAAAAACTCCACAAACTCACTCTTTCTAAATGCAAGCAACTCACTTCATGAAGTAGCTTGATAACTGAGAAACAGGATTTGGAAATCAGTTTATTCTTTCTGACGCGCCCCATATAAAAATGGAATGTATTATACATAAAATAGTACAGTACATAGTGTATAGGAGAAGAATAAAAGAAAAAAATTTATATATAGTTTCAGAATGTGAAATTTTGTAATATTAATTTTGAGACAGAAATGTTTCATTTTTCAAAAAGCAAAAGTATCATATTCCTATAGCACTGTGGACATATTTTTAATCAAATACAAAACTATTGTAAAATCAAGCATATACTGTATTCCATGGAAATTAAAACCAGAAATAAAAATGTATAAATCTCACCTTTGCTGCTTCCAATTGTCCATGCGGTACAGCCATTTGCACCATTGGACGAGAAGGACGTGTGCTTGATTTTAAACCCACAGGGGGTAATTTATGTCCACGGCGAGGAAAATAGGGACCCATAGGAAGGGCATTATGATTTTCTTGAAACGCTGCATGGCAATGTGAAAGCAGGGGGACTAAAACTTGAATTACATCTTGAGGCAGTAGTAGCACCATCTCCTTCAACAGATCTGGAAAAGTAACAGTCAAGGCAATTAGCATCCAAAGGCAAAAAACTGTCTTTCGTGAGGAGATGATGATGATTCAGGTTTAAAGGTGCTTAAACAGCTATTTATTTTGTGCAAATATTTTATGAGCAATGTGCACTGTAGCAGTGCCAGACTAAAACTTTATTTTTAGCAAGGTAAAATGTAAGTAAAACTGAATAAAACATGTTCAATTATTTAAAAGGGTGGCTGAAAAGGGCCAGATAAACACTTTAAAATCTCTAATTAAAAGCAAAATAATTGACATAAACCTCTTCTCTCAGATAATGCTGTAAATATCAGTCTCTCATAAGAAGCTAAAAAGCTTGCAGAGAGAAGATTCATCATTTCCAAGTACCTGTGCTAGAGAGCTAGCAAGGTGAAGCTATCTCTTAGCTTAGAACAGTGCAGGAGAACATGCTCATGGTAATATCCGTCTTGCATCTATCGCAAGTAAGGGGTGGGTCATTGGGAAGACGACTGCCATGGGAGAAATGGCAGTGACCAATTTGGAGGCATGTGAGAAGTATCTCGTCGTGCTTAGACCCACAAGATGAAGAAGCCCAAAGCTTTAAGAAGTCCTTGATTCTTATGAGTTTAAAATCTGAGTTCTGCCACTCTGCTTGCCATGCAATGACAATACAACATTACCAAACCAAACAACCAAATTATAACGATGCACCAATAAATTATAGATTTGGTGTTGGATGATCATTGTCACAGGGTGACACGAAGAGAAGCAGGAGATAGATTTGAGCGAGCTTTCTGAATCATTGCAGATCATTGCTTCATTTAATGTCATGTATTAAGTGAACTTAAGTGCCTCCAATAGTGCATATTTTTCTGCAGTATAAGGACTGCACAAAAAGTCTCTTCAAAGACTCTGCATGGCTCTGTGGCAGTAGAAGGCTCACCCTACAATTACACATTACTATTTTGGATTTCATCTCCTGGAATTCCGCCAGAAATGTACTGGGGCGAGTTGAGGATTTGGGGAAGTGTGATAATCTCAAGTCTATTTTAGGCAGAGAAGGGGAAGATGGGA